ACGATCAACTGACATTTGTGTACATACATTCCACTCATCTTCATCTTTGGGATTTCGAGTAGATCCTGCTGGAGTCGGGTCGGGTGATATTAGGTCAATTATTTCTGATTCTGGAGGTTGGTGACTCCATGCATCAGTGCTGCCCCAAGTTTTGATGATGGGAGGTAAATAATTGGGTTGGGCAAATTTTGATGGAGAGAGGTCTAGCGCGTCACTGGAACCAGGAAAGAACTCTTCAAGTATACGAAAAGGGACACTCAGATTTGTACTAGCGAGTAAGGGTATTTTCCATGTTAGGTATGCGTTTTGACACCTGCTAGTAAGATACGGAAATAACTCACTATGATTTGCCAGTGGAGACGCATGTGTAAAACTCTTGAACCAATGAATTGGCTCGTACGCAAGTAACCTGTCAGAGATATATGTTACATCAGTTTCTGGTCATGTAGCGCGAGTTCATAACATATACTCACATTCCAACCATTGATTTCCAATCCTTCGAGAGATCGAGCACGCGACAAAGCCACATAGGCTTGTCCGCATTCAAAGACTCCACGAAGTTCAACGCAAAGCCGATCCAGCGACTGACCTTGAGACTATGATAAATGTAAAAATGTGCACTAAGTTATGTGAGGACTAACACATTAACAATATATCAGGAGGTACGTACCTTGTGTATCGTTAGTGCCCACGCTAGACCAAGCGGCAGTTGGGTGCGCGTAAGAAGTGTTTTTGAGTCGATTTCTACCTTCCAGATGTATGGTTCAATCACAACCGCTCGTCCATCTGAAAATAAAACCTCAGGGAGGTAGGTATGATCCTGTTGCTCGGCCCACGCTATCCGACCAGCATCACGCAAGTGATCGGCACGATGTTTTGAAGGATCACCAGAAACCCCATTATCACCAGTTGTATTGTAATCCGGACGCTCCCTCCAATCTATCACAACACCGCGAGATCCGTTGACCAGTTTCCCTCCTACATCAAGATTGGCTAACAAAATGACTTGAGTGCCAACCTAAAAGTAAGAGTCAATAGGTCTATTTATCGAAAGTCAAGAGTCTGGGAAGTACCTTGAGCTGTAGATTCTTACGAGCCTGAAGGTCGTTCAATCGAGATAGACTAATACAGGCATCGGATCAATGAATAAGAAGACAAGGGAAAGAAAAGAGCGCAGATAGAATGGGTCTCACAATGATTGTGCGTATTTACTCTCGCTTACGGTATCAAAGGATGCAAATGAGTGTGCAGTTTCTTTAAGCAAACTGAATTTCTTAGAATTTTCAACGTCGACGTCTTGATTCTTGGGATACAGCCGAGTTGGCTATACGATTATGGAAAAAGTGCACAATTCATCAAAATCGGACTAAAATTATAGTCAACGCTTAGCTTGCTACCTTGATTTGGTGTTCCTGTAGAGGCTTGCTACGTGACAGCATCAACTTATCGACGGTTTCATCTACTTGTCCCCACCTGATCTTCAATACAGTCATGGAAAGTGTATTTTGGATCAGCTGGTGTGGGATTAGCGAGGTCCAAAATCATAGGTCTCACCTTGTTTAGGATATCAATGAAGTATCTATCTTCTTGACGAAATACCTGATGAGCAATTGATCGTGAGTTTCAAAACACTATGATGGCAATGTGTGAAATGGACTAGACCTTTTTTAATTCGATAACAGAAAGATTTAGCTCTCTCCATGTGGGCGTTTCAAAACAGAATGTATACTCAGGTCTCACCCTTCCGCAAGGTGTACCTTCCCAGGCCTTATTGAATGGGCGAACGCATTGTATATTACCTGTCATCTTATCACGTTTAAAACCAGTGCAACCACAAAACATACAAGAAAATCCTTCATCCTTAGATACAGGTGGTAATTGAAAGAAATCACCTGATAGGATTATTTGAATCCCACCAAAGGGAGACCTCACGCGTCTAGCCGCTTGACAAAGCAGAGATATTTTTTCGAATAGCTCAGCTTGGAGCTAAAATAGACAGATTTAACATTGATGTTCCAGTGGACTTAGACAACCGAGGAAACATACCATAGAGACTTCATCCACAATTAGGACATCAGTACCCATGATTCCCTCAGGTTTGCTATTGGGTTTCGATCGGAAGACTCGGGATCCAGAACTCGAATTATAGAGCTCATGGACAGAGCCTCGCCCAAGTCCAATCTTAGCCCAGGAATATATCGTTCTTCCTTCAATAGCCAGAGCAGCTATACCTATTGGGGTTGTGAAAGTGACAAATGACTAAGTGACCTTCAAAATCTGGACGATCATTTTTCGCGCGAGAGTTTCATTAAACCAGCAGAAACACAATACCTGTTGGAGCCGTCACGGCTACATTACGGTTAGATGCCTTCAGCATCTTGACCACTTCATTCAACATGAAACTTTTCCCCACTCCAGCGGAACCCGTGAAGAATACATTGCGACCAAGCCTCACCTGTTAATGTCTCGATATCAGCTTAAGCTACATATACCAGTAGTTCATCTTGAAGTATACAAAACCTACTTCGTCGAGTACCCTCAATTGCTCGTCTGAACATTTTGGATCTGGGGTATAGGGCTGCGAAGCTTCTTGAAGTCCTCCCGATGTGAGTAATTGCTCCATTTTATGCGCCATCTTCTGTTGAAGAGCTTTATCAGGAGTTCGATGGTGTTGAGTGAGGAGTGTTTGTCTACTTGGGCCGGATTTGAGACCAAATTCTCTTAATCGAATCTCTCCAGCTGCACGTTTTTTCTCAGCTTCAGCATAACGAAGAGCCTCTTGAGCCTTCCTGCGTGAAGCTTTGAGGGCTTCAGCTTTTAATCGATTCTCTTCCATCCGAAGCCGAGCTTCAGGAGTCATCTGACTCTTGCATGGGGATGATGTTTGAGGTCCAGATGCCGTTTGTGTTACCGTGGCGGTAAGCAATCTAGGATCATATGGCAGTTCCACGATTTCGTCCAAACGTTCGTGATTTGAGGACATGATGCCTTGTAAAGTATGATCTGGATTCTGAAGCTGATCAAAGACTTCGTGTCGGACGTGAATATTATGAGCGAATGGATAGGATACGATAGATTCTGCAAAGTAGGCAAATAAATATTCATATCAAAAGTCAAATATTGAAAAAACGAAGGGCGTGGTAAACAAGGCTATATGCGACAGCGCATACAACCTTCACCAAGCCCGTGCAGTCATCAGTCCCTCGAAGCGGGCTTCCTCTGTGTCACCGGTAAGGAAGCAGGACTCGGGAGTCGGCATTACACCAGGCCTGTCACTGTAGAGTCAGACGTGTGAAACTGGACGTGATAGACTAGATGATCGATCAGTAGCGGAGTTCATTGAATAGATCAACTCAGCTTTGGATTCTTTACTCAATCATATCATGGCCTCATCAATTCTCAGAAAGCCTGCATGCCGCGCATTGTTCTCTACCTCATCTACCATCAAAGCAGAGAAGCCAATCGTTCCGAAACTGATCAACTCTTTCCTTCACGGCTCAGAAGAAGCGAGAAAAGAAAATGAAGCACTACAAAGCCACAGTACCACAGTTGGCTCCAAGAGTATTAGCGAGATTCAAAGTGAGCGTCATTTGAACTTCATATACGACTCTTTGTATTGGGTATTCACCAAACTTGCATATCCCTTTCAGAACACCATATACATCCCCAGAACGTGGATCAATACAAACAGCTTATGTAAGGCAAGGTTTCATTGAGCGATAGATTGACAGCAAGCTTCAAGTATTGACTGAATGAATTTGCTTACATGCCTTATATGAACTCAGAGGATCATACTTTGACAAGTTGAATACTCAAAAGGAGTTGAAAATGAACCTCAAGGGTTCTTTTGAGGTAGTAGTTGGAGAACTTGATAGCTTCGGTACGTATTTTACACACCCAATAATACTTCAGTTCTGTTGCAAAGCAATCATTTCTGATCTGTGTTTGTTTTCAGTTCACATTTGGGAATTCGAAGGTTACGAAGGCTATGACTATGCGACCAGTAAGATACGAGAATCACCAGTGCGTCGGTTTCTTTTCAATTTAGACAGAAATGGTCGTGGTGACAGAAATGGGATGAATACTTGCAAATCAGGAGCACGCCGAATTTCTAAAGAGTCTTCGACCTCTCATCCAATCTCGTACATCTCAATTGTGTCGTGAATTCGCATTCTGGCCTTGCTCAGGCCCAAAAGTGAATGGCGGAATCTACGAAATGCGTAGTTATCAACTCGTAAGTGGATCATATCTACCTTTCCCTCGTCTTTTTACCTACCTTCTGATGATTCTTCAACGCCTGCAACTATTGATAGAAACCAGGTACCCTACTCGAATGGGAAACTGAGTGGCGTAGAGGCTTAGAAGCTCGTCGGAAATTTGTTGAGCCTATCGGAGCCTGGTTTGCACAAGTAGGACGACTTCATCAAGTTCATCATATGTGGCAATACCCATCTTTACAAGCTCGGCTTAAGAAGCGTGAACAGGCTTGGCAAGTTGATACTTGGAGTAAAACTGTATCTAATGTAAGCATGTGATACACGACGCTGGCAAATTCGCTTCCAACCTTTTCATCATCTATCTCATTTCCGACTTTGTCCCTTACAGACCGTCAAGTTGTGTGACTCGATGGATGCAAATGTATTGCTACCCAATAGCTTCAGTCCACTAAGATAGCAAGCTTAAGGGTCGTGAGCCCCTTCATGGGTAGGTGATTGCTGAATCTTTTTCTTCTGATTTCCGTTCTCGTTTCTTCATGAACTTTCAAATATTGTACAAATCGACTTGAAACACATCAACTTGTATTGCTAGGTAACTACATCCTCAGGATCTCGAGAACCACATATGTTTTTCCCTTGAATGACTTGAGATGTTGTTTTCTGCTTTCTTTTCAATCTCTGCCCTATGTTCTGCTCTTGTGAGAATGCATTAGCTAACTATTCGTGACGTAGTGGCCTTGTACTTTCGGCGATATCTCGGCTTTTCTGGAGGGCACCGTCATCGGGGTTCTAGCTCATCGGTAGAGCGCTCGCTTAGCATCTTCCCCATGTTGTATGTTTGCGAGAGGCGCTGGGTTCGATTCCCAGGTACTCCAAGCCTTTGATTTCTTTTTAGCTTGTGTCTGCGTGTTCCAACAGGTGAATCACAGCGTCAATTGAAGTACAAACTTTGAGTACCTGTTCTGTATGCATGTTTGTCCTTGACTTGTAGGAGTGGTGCAATTGATTTGAATAAAAGGTGTATTCAAACAACATGATGAAGTGCTCTTTGTGAGCACAGAGACAGATCAACAGTCTTGTCTTTCAAAAATCGCACCATCATCTCAAGATGGCAGATTCTGGCACATCTGCAATGAAGCCAAAACCAATTACCCAGTCCTGTTTGTGGATTCTGACAGATTAAATCAATCTTGACATGTATTTGCATAACAGGGTGAGGGAAGGAAGGACTGTAATAATGTCTTTGTAGAGAACAATGTTTACATCACAGAAGGGTTTGGTGGACACATTTTGGATTTGTCTAAGTTGGGAGCTAAGTGATTGTAGATGATTAGATCTCAATGGACCTACTGTAAAGAGTTTAATGTGTGATCTCTTCCAAAGGCTGGATATATTACATAATTGCACTATTATATGTGGCTGAGCTGGCCGGAGGGTTGCATTTACAATTCAGTAGAGTTTTGGAATGTCCTTGTGCATGGGCTGTGACCCAGCCCTGGGTAGACCAAAGGACCTCCCAAAATAGCTCCGGGCCAGGCAGGGCACACCCCAAATCTTAGGATATTTGACAAAAGTAAAGCCTAACTTGTAGCATCTTCAACATGCCTGCTTCTCAAGACCACGTACAGGCCCAGGGACCAGGAAAGAGATCCTCTCAATCCAGCAAAACAGTATCTTCATTGAAAAATCCATGATTGATAGATTTCATGAACAAAAGATGAAGGTTCAAATGTGGTTCATGTGCCTGCAGGGGGGATATTGTCACCCTATTTGCCATGTACGTACTCAATACTGTGGGATCAGCATTTTTTTGACCCTCAAGCCTTTGTGGCTTTGACATGTGCATCTTGTAGTCCTCAATATTGAGGCTCACACAAGTAGCCAAAAGTGAGAAGTCTGGTAGTCATACTTATACCCAACCCACAAAACATAGTTGTGTAAGGGTAATATTTCTCAGAGAAAGAATATAAAAGGAAAAGAAGGGCCACACCTACAACCCTTATGCAATGAGCAAATCAATGGTCAAGGCTGCATGCCTTGTGATTAACTGTTGTGATTCATACTTTCTGTCTGATTGAGAAATTTCAAAGCAATCATCACTTGACAAACACATCTTCAATCCAAGATGAAATAAAGAGAGAAAAAATTGACTACATATATAGGCAAAGTGAATACAATTAATTTGGCAAAAGTACTTGTGGATCATCAAGTTTAGAAAGTCTAGCGTACAATCAGCTGGGAGACAAGGACAATATCATATTTATATCTGAGCTGAATCCATGTTCGATCTACAATCAGTGGTACGACCGCATATGGTGTCTTAGGCTTGTATTCCTCACCATCCTAGATAGAGCTTTTGAGCTGTTGGAAGTCTTACCAGCCTTAGATCACTTCTTTAAGGCTCTGATGGCTTTGCTGAGTGGCATGGTGGTACAATCTACACCACTGAAATAGGCCAAAATACAAACACCCACTTGGTCACCAACAAATGGAATTCAAATACCCAAAATTTCTGCCTAGGACAAGCCCTGTTTCCAGCAGTATTGGAAACAGCATTTATGAACCGTAACTATCCGGTTTTATTGAATTGAAATTATATTGAAGATGCAACTTCACAAGGTTTCACTTTGCCCATTCCCTCTCTTCCCTTTTGATGCATCAACACATGTGACCAACATTTTTCTTCATAATTATGGGATACAAACATCAAATCCGGTTCTTTTTCCCGGATTCCCAGCTTGGACTTTTTGGCTGTAGTTTGGAAACTGGGAATCTGGGTGACCCATTCCCAGTCAATCTCATGTTTGAATCCCCCTTCAACACTTCAACACTTCACTTACATTCCATATAACAAGTTTGGTGTCAAGGACCTTGCCTCAACTACATCACATCAACCATCCTTCCCCTCCTTTGTGCCTCAATTTGCTTGTAAACCAGAATTGGTTGGCATACTGGACTGAAGGTGTTAATTGAGGGGAATCAAGTGAGTTTTTCTGGGCAGGTTTTAGAGTTGGACAAAACACTTGAAAATTGGGGCCTTGAATTTTTTCCCAGATTCCGAGTTTCTAAAACCCAAGTTGGGAATCCGGGAAAAAAACTGGATTTGATGTTTGTATCCCATAAATGAATTCAAATCTCTGTTGGACAGATGAAGATACACAAGTTTACCAAGAAGTGTATTGCAAAAATCTCATCCATGTTCAAAATCTCAATGTTGGAGTTCACATTGGAATCTACTGAATATACCAAGTGAAATTTATGTTAAGTAGGTAGTCATTATTTTAAGTTGTGATGGAATGAATTTGTCAACTTACCTCTACCCCCTTGCAAATTTTTCCCCAATGAATCATCCAAGTCACCTCTTCAGACTGGCTTCTTTTCATTTGTAATTGAATCCTTCTTGATTATAGGATCAAAAACTCCAGTTCAAGAAGATATCTACAAACTCATATCTCAGCCTTTACTGATCAACCTACTCAGACAGGCTCAAAATAAAGTTCATACAAAATTTGGACAAACTGAAAATATCTACCATCATCAACATCAATAACATATGTGCTGCATGCACTGTAAAGAGAGGTTCAAATTTTATTGTAACAAGTTGGAGAACAAAACAGTTGAATAAAATCTGAGAAGTAGAGATAAGTCAAATACTCAATGTTGTGATCCCTAATACCAATATCTGCCCTTGAACAGGTCAACAGATTCATCCTGTGCTTTGTGGGACCTGATCTAACACCCAGTGTTACTTAGACTTCCATTATAGTTCCTATTGTGGCTGACTAAGACACCTTCAAAAGTGCCTCAGGTGTATGATGATAATGAGAATTGTTTTACAGAGTGTATGTATAATATAATTCAAGGGCTTGCTATCAACTCATTACCCCATGTAAAAGATATTCACACCAAGTTTATCTTATGAGGTTTTGAAGGCTTTTGAAATGTCCAATGGCCAAATTATCACTGACTAGCTCCTGGTACTAACAAAAAACTTCAGTTGTTCATACTTCATTTGAGTCATCTGGAGGCCAAGGACAACTCTTTTGTTGATATCATTCCAAGAACATTTTCAAAAAAAATCAAAAATTTACTCACTCCAGGTCCCTAATCACATAAAGCATCAAAGACTGCAGTTTTGGAATCTTTGAAACAATCAAAACCTGGGAAAAGCCCAAATGCACTAGAATTTGAACACACACAGATTGGACAGTTAACCTATCAACACCTGAAGTGCTCCAATTTTTTGATGTAAATCTGTAGTCTGGTAACTTCCCACTACAATTCAAATGACCTCTTAAAAGACTTGCCAAGGGATTTGGGAACAAAATGATGAAACATTGAACAAAGCAGTGTTGGGATATCTAGATTGGAAAGTCTTTAGTTTTTTGCACAGGGCAGGAGCCTGATCAACACATTCTGATGGAATATGCTTACTAGGCATTCATTGTTGAAGAGCAATACTTAAAATGATCCATCCCAATCACAACCAAGTTCCAGAGCTCCTAGCTTATGGGAAAAGCTTGATATTTAGCAAAGCAGCATAGAAATTTATCAACAATTTGTTGATAGGGGTAAGGGAGACCAAATATAATCTTAGTGAGATTTTCCCTCCAAGAAACCTGACTATGAGACTTGTTGGGAAACCTTTTTATACCTCCAGAAGTCTTCTATCTGAAAAAACACAATATGCAATATAATTAAGTCTAGAGAGATAGATTCTTTTTATGAGAAATTGGAGATGATACAAATGATGTATCTTGAGCTCAATTCCTCAAAATATCTTAGGGACCTTTTGGCAACTTCCCAGAGGCTCACCAAATATCTCCATACCACCATTTGGTGTAATATGTGGTCACATTGAGTATCTTGGTGGTTTCCAAAGGAGCCCTTAACCAGAGAGTTGGAGTCAAATCTATCAAAGACCAAGAAAATACTGTAACAGACTATGATTGGTGTAAAGAACTTCTATAGTCCTCACCAAAACTAGATCTTGTCATGGGAAACAATGGGCTGAGAGAATGGATAGTCACTTAGAAGTGATCTCAAGTGATTTCTAGAGCCAAAGCAAATATGAATTATATTTAACTGACTTCAAAGGGAGATGAATCAAAAAATAGTCTACATATGATTCCCTCCATAAGTACAGTTGTTTAGTTTAGAGAAATTGATAGAGAGGAATAAGGAAATATATGTTGCTCACCTAATTCCAAAGCAAGATGAATCAATAATCTGTCTATGATTCCCTAAGGAGTTATTAATGTGTGAGTTGATCAAGAAAGAGATACTAGGTGATTCAACATAAGGTTTTGTAGTTTCATGTATGTTCATATTGTAATGAAGTCAACAACAGAATTACAATTGGTTTGACTTGGGTTGGATTTGATGGCAAGTCTGCCATGTAAAACGTGAAGAAGTGAGAACAAATCTTGAGCTTGTGGGCAAGTACACAAACACACGGGCAGTTTCACATCCTATGTTCTTTGAAGGGATATGTAATAATTATGAAGAGGTTTGAGTAATCTCATTATGGTTGATGATCATTTTGACAAAATACAGCCAATGAACCCTGCTGCATACTGCTCTGAAAGGAGTGTGTGAAGTAGCAAGCTGCACTGGCCTGCCACAATTTCAACCTACATGCCAAATGAAAGGGGGTAGCAGTGGCAGAGCAATTCAACCTGCTAGACCAAATCTATAGTTGTCTTCTACCTCTTTCTTGGGTGTGGCTGGCTCTTTGGCTGTTGAAACTACTGATGTTTGACTAAATCATATTGGCAATTAAATGTGATCAAAGCCTTTCAAATTTTGATAGAGTCAACATCAAATTCATAAAAAATGGGATGGGTGTAAATTTATTCCTGGCAGGTCAGTATGCTCAGACACCTATGGTTAAAGACTGCTCACATCCATGCCTCCAAAGGTTTTTGGATCCAAAGGCAACACAGGCACAAATCCCTATTTTGTTGGTTACATGACAAAAAAAACTCAAAGTGAAGACATACCTTTTTCATTGGTGTGTTTACTCAAGCAGATACACTTGGCAAAACCCATTCTCTGTCCAAACTGGTGTGTTCTACCACTAGGAATGGCTGTCATCTCTGAATACTTGAATGTTGTGCCTTTCCCAACCATGGGACAATTTTTTGACACAAGTGACACATGGTATAAAAATATCTTGATATATTAACAACAGAACTTCTGGCATAAAAAATACCAGATGATACTCAACTCCAGACTAACTTGTTGCTGATTAGATTAAACTAGCAGTTCTTTAAGCTATGATCATCAGATATTGCTCACTTCCTATGCAAACAATAAGAATCCATTCAACCTACTAGAGATACACATGCAAGCTTATATTGACTTCTGTAGTGACCCATTGAGCCAAAAAGTAATTGAATCTCCACAAAGGAATACTACCAGTGCAGAGGGTAACCAATGAAAAAAGACGCCTTGTGAGGGCAAAGTGGAGTACCTGGGAATCGAACCCAGCGCCTCTCGCAACCACACAAGTACGGATGCTAAGCGAGCGCTCTACCGATGAGCTAGAACCCCGATGACGTCATCCCCAAAAACGGCCTACACAAACATGGTGTCACACATAGTTAGCCAAATTGCAATACAAACCAAAACTTGCGAATTCAGGAAGAAGCTTTTTAAGGACAGAACAAGCATATGAGAAGAATACACTACATTTTGAGACAAGGATAATATGAAAGATTAGTAAAACTCAATGAATACTTGCTCACCACAGAACTAGACTGGAGATGCAGTTTAACAGGGCTCAGAGCGTTTGTTCACCGAGGAACCTTGAGAGGCTCGAGATGCTAGGCCAGGGGCCGCTGTCACAGAAGAGCGTCTTTCCAGCTCCACGCGAACTCGCCCAATGTGAGTCTTCAATTTGCTGTGCCTGGTCTTGTCGATAAAGGTTCGAGCGGTACAGAGTTTGCACATCCAGTGTCCCATTTTTGCCCGAGACGTGCATTGCACAAAGTCTAAGGTGAGAATCAAAGCATTCATTTCAGTCTGTACGGATGCGCCTGTGAGTGAAAAAACCCTCACATTTATCAGAGTTTGCTTGAGCCGGTGATATAAAGCCCTGCGGCATTGTGTTGTGTTGTGTTTTTGAGAGTATGGAATGTATGTAACGAGAGAGTATGAAATGTAACGAGCAACAACGAAGCAATAGCAAAAGGACAGATAGAATCGAAGGGTCGAATCAAAGTGACTGTCTTCGTCGTTTAGGGATGGATCAGGGGATTGAATGATGGAATGGTCTGCGTGCTTCTTCCAAAAAGTTCTCGAATGATAATAGTTCTTGAAATTCTTAGAATCTTAAGTTGACTATCCTGCAGATAAAGCGTATAGTGTATGAACGGATACCTGAGGGCACAGGTTCCTCGTTAGACTACAGCTTTACTGATTCTTTTCGACATGAAAAGAATTAAACCCAACATAATCCATCAATCAATCCCTTGCTTCCATTTTTCTAATATAACCCCTTCATTCATCTAACAAATTTCTACACTAGTCACGCGTCACATTAGATCCTCAATACTGCCTATCCCCAATTTCCATCTCATCCCATCCAATCACCACAACCTAAATAATTCTATCATAGTAGCTGCGTGGGATCAGCGGCTGATCGACGCGAGTTTTCATTACGTAACGAAGTGAGATACAGAACAAATGAGAAGGGATCTAGTATCCATGATAAGCACTCCTGGTATGTCTCAAGCGCATACTTTCAGCTTATGCACCACAATTACATGGCGTAATGCTGGGATAAAAGGGCATTGATAAGACTATAAAGCAGTGTTGAAAAAGAAGAGATCTATACATTCAATGGTCACATTTCAGCTTAATTAACTATCATACATCTATAATCACATTCATTTCTAACAAGATGGAAAAAATATGTAGTTGTATGTATATTAATCACACAGGAATCTATGCAAAACGATTTAACAAGATTAAGATGTAAGAAAACTAAAATCAAAAGGAAAAAGATTGCAATTGATTCATTGAATTTAACTTTATCTATTAGCTTTGACCATAATCCGTTCTAGGTGCTCTAGTCTTTGTTTCAGCTCTTTTCAAAGCACCGGTCTCCCATTTAGATTTCATATCATTAACTCCATTGAATCTTTCTTCAGCTTCCTCGTCTTGGTCTTTTTCAGTTTGCTCGGCGATTGAAGTTACTTGGATTTTACTCATAGATGACTTTGTATAATTGAAATTCTTTGAGGGAGGAGTTGGTTTATTCACAGCTGAAGATTTAAGCGGTGTGGCTCGCACTTCATTACGCGAAACAGGCTTGAAGCTATGTCTTTGACCGTTACCCGTAGTCGACGGCTTGAGACCTGTGTTGATCTTATTTGAAAAGCCGTTCTTGCCAGCTGGAGGGGAAGTGACCGGAGACTGGGCATCTCCCGTTGTTGATAAGTTTTCATATCGAGACACTAAACTCGTGATTGCAGCTGCAGATTTTAATGACTGTGGCTTGGGTGCTCGTAGCGGAGGACCTGGGTTGCGAGCCACTCTCGAGCCAGTTAACATCGATGATAATCTGTTTTCGGGTGAAGTAGATCTGGTTTGAGCACGCGAAGAGAACGGGTCCCGCTCAGTGTCATCCAATGGTAGCGGAGAGGCCGCCGGCGGTGCAAATTTGGCGATTGCAGCCCTTCTCCGAGCCTTGATATCGTCATCTTCCTCCGTGGTGGTGGTCAAGTCCGATGTGGACGCGACTGAGACCGATGTTGTCGATGGAGCTATTGGAGCTATTGGAGGTTGGGCAGGGGAGTCTGTTAATGAAGTAGATTGAATGGACGTGCTAGCTGCTGAAAGCTGATTGTACGATTTTCGTACGGGAACAAAATGCTCTTTAGTTGATTTGAGGATCGGGTTGGGCGTGTTGACTTCTGATTTCACTGGCAGAGGTGGGCTCATAGGTTTTGCATGTGTCGAGAACTTCGCCAATCCTTCTGGGTCTTCCGGTTCTTCTGGTTCGTCATCCGAGTCGCTACAAGCATTGCTGCTTAGACTTGGTTTCCAGACATTCGACACTGAATTCGTCTTGATATCTGTTTTGCCAAGTGGCCGAGAAGGTATTGGAGGTTCATCGGCCAACTCATTGGATCCGGGAGGTTTAGCCTTGGGAGTCGGTCGAAACTGGTGATTGTTGCGTACCGTCTGGGCTGACTGATACTTATTTGTCAAGGGTTCTTTGATAAGGGAGTGTGTTCCCAGACCTAGCTGGGCAGAAGCGGCAAGGTCATCCTCATCGTCGGCAAGGAAGTTGACGGGTGGTTTTGGCTTCGAAGTTTTGGTTTCTGGAAAGGATGATTGTCCAATCGGATTCTTTGATGGCAAAGTAGGCATAAGCTCTTTAATCAAGCCAGACATGAGACTGGGTGACGTCTGGACAGATCGACTGACCAGCTTTGCTTGGTCTTTCTTCAGCAACTCTGATAATGATGATGCTATGGGAGCTTGAGAAGGTTGCATGTGGTTGTATGATGCCATAGATACCTTGGTGGAGGTGAAGCTGGTGTGAGAGGATCGAGTTTCATGCATGGTGTGCATGGTCAGTGATTGAGGTCCAGTTTTTTGTGACAGGCCCCCGGAGCCTATGGCAGTTATACCACTTTGTTTCGTGTTCTTGATATTAGGGGATGACGTCGATGATGGACCAGTGAAAGAGTCCCTTTTGGCAGGCCGGTTAGATTGAAACGATGTCCCATCCGCACGAGAATTTCGTATCATATTCATGCTAAGCGGTTCAGCCTTTTTTATATAGGTAGGAGGTAGAAGATCTTCGAAAGGGACAGTTGGCTTTGAAGCCTGTGCCCCTGTATCTGCCTGTTTCCTCGGCTCAAGTGCGGATTTGGGTTTGGCTTGATGATCAGGAGACGATGTGTGGAGATGATTGAGTGACACTGGCGCTGAGGTCATTCGACTTGTGCCAGGTGGTGATGCAAGCATAAATGAATCCCCGAACCCAGCGGCAGCTTCCCTTGCAAAAAGATCCGACTCCTCAGGTGCACCAGCGATGGAAGGTTGCTTGGGTAAATCCCACATGGATTTCATGTCGTTACTGCTATCGAGTTTAGTAGTAGAATTACCGACTGGGTCTACGGCACTGCTGGGTACCACATCCTTGGGCTTCGTCGTCGGCCTGCCACGCCGCATAGGCACGACGGGTTCAGCTTGACGGGTGACGAGGGGTACAGAAGGCGCGCTAGTGAAGATAGCATCCAAGCCTTCAGATTTTCCAGGTTGAGAAACCGCATTCGGGACAGAGGAACCTTGCCCTTGTTGCTTTGCGGGCCCAGATCCCAAGAGGGTTCCGGCTGCGCTCCCACGCTAGATGCGAGACGTTTAATCACATTAGCACAGTGACTGTCCAGTAAAGCAAGCATTCGACTTACTCGTTTCAAATGGGGCTGAAGACCCCGCAGCTTGCACGTGTGTTCATGTACCTGCCAGATGTCGGGCCTACTGTGTGCGGACTCCTGAAGCATGGTACCTGTGAAGACGCATAAGCTGAGTTGAGGTTCAAGTGTCTTGATTAGATTCACTAACCGATCAAATACTTGATAGAGTTGCTGTAAGCAGGGTAAGAAGGGATGGTGTATTGCACATTGAGAATCGCCATCGGACCATGCTCCTCGAAGGGTGTTGTGTAGTAACAAAGTTTGTAAAGAAAGACTCCTAACGCCCAAATATCTAGAGACTCAAGATTAAAAGGACAACCCACTAGTTAGATTGCGGTGAGGAACGTACCTGCTTTCTCGGTAACACCTTTACGGCTCCACACATCAACCATCTCAGGAGCTCGGTATTGGAGAGTTGTATGCTTGTTGAGATCCGCCTCTAGTGCCTGGATTTCAGCGGTACTTTGGGGTGGGTTTGGCGGTGGAGTGGTAGTAGAGCCAAAATCGCACAATTTGTAAAGATTTGGGGCGGCCACTAGGATGTTTTCGACCTATGTGGACGGGAGCTATGAGACGTTGAAGACTATCAATTTCGTGATCCGGATCGACGTACTTTCAAGTCACGATGCATCAAGACAGGGGTCTGACTGTGCATATGAGCTACCGCTTCGACAGTATCGCTGAATATCTTCAGAATCTCAGACTCAGTTAGGCGGTTTTGTAAACGTGAATTCAATAAGTCAATTATGCCCCCGCCTATCAAGAAAAAGACCGGGTTTAAGATAAGTAACTCGAGATTCCAACATCAATCAATCAAGGGAAAAAAATCAACTTTCCTGGGCACAGCTCCATCAAAATAAATATTTCATACCCAGACCCACCCACAATAGAGGATGCAGAGGCTTCGATGAAATATACAACATGCTTGTGAGGCCTAAGTTGCTTCATCACATCAACCTCCTTCCTCACCTCCACCAGGCCAGCTTTATCGGGTACAGCCATCCGCTTCAAGACAAATGTGTTTTGAGTAGGCGCAAAGCCTTCAACCCTGGAAGGTGAAACCAAACTTGCAACGTACACATGGGCAAAACCCCCTATGAGATAAAAGTCATTTCAGCA